GGGTCGGTCACCCCCAGGGTAGAGGACAGCAGAGACACCGTGACCGCGGTGTCCCCAGCACCCTCCCGTGGGCACTCGCTCCCAAGCCGGGACTTCAAACCCTTCTGCCCTGCCACAGGGCCACCCCACGCTGCCGTGCCTCAGTTTCCCCTCTGGCCTCGCTGCATCCCTTGGGGACGGGGTCTGGTTTCTCCCCACAATAGCCTGATCCTGCTGCCGGGAAAGAGGAGGGAGCGGAGGCGGGAGCGAAAGCACTGTGCGTGGCCGGGGTTTCCCGCGGGGGCCTGCAGCCGCCCCTGCGGTCTCGTGCCCGGAATTGAGGTTTCGGGCGATTCCAGACCTCGGATGTGGCGATGGGGCTGGGGAAGGGGCCAGCGCCACCCAGATGGCCATCGCCTTCCCAGGGTGGCTAAGGGGGAACCATCCCCAGTTTGGGGGTCCCTAGAGACTTCCCAAATCCCAGCTTGGGGGGAGCTGAGCTGGGTTCCCTGCCGTGACCGTCCCCCTGCCGTGCCCGTGCCCAGCCCCGCCGGGCCGTATCCTGCCCTTAGCATCGCCCACCCTGAGCATGGGCCTGGCTCAACCCCAGCGCCAGCTACCGGCCCTGCTGCAGGGGTCATGCCTCAGTTTCCCCATGTCTAGAATGAAAGGTTCCCCGTGGTGTCCCCTAGCCGGGCACCGTGGGGATGTCCCCAACCCCAGTGGCACCAGGTCCCTCCCGTGCCTCCCAGCCCCGCAGGGTGCCCTTAGACCCCCCCGCAGCGCTCACCGCAGCACGGCCAGGCGTCCAGGCTGGGAGCTGGAGGCTTTGTCACCACCAAAGGCTCGGGAAGCTGTGGCCCCAGCCCGGCCACAGCCCACTTCCTTGCGCAGGAAACGCTGTCCTCGCCCCGGGGCCAAAAAAACCACCGCCTGGCCCCGCGAGCAGCCCCACAATGGAGCGGGACCCCCGTGCGGACACGCTTTCAGCTCTGGCCAGGATGGTTTCCAACCTTTCCCATCCCATCGCCCTGCAAAGGGCACGTTTCTGTCTCAGCTGACCCGGTCCCCTCCTAGGGGCGCCAGCATAGCTGGGGACACCATGGGAGACGTGTCCAAACCCCAGTGCCCCAGCCTCCCCCAGCACCCCTGGCACACGTGGCCTGATGCCAGCTGTCCCCATCCCCGTCCTTGTCTCCCCCCAGGGACGAGCGGCCCCGTTGGCGTGAGTATAAATACTTTATTGCTGCTGTGCTGGGGTGCGTAGAGCCGTGGGGACACCGCCGCGGTGTCCC